ATTAGTTATAGTTATGGTGACTCGCTACTGGTTAGTTGGGAAAGACAAAAGCAGATCATTTGTCTCCATATGATGCCTGTAGGAGGCGCCATTGACGTTTCCCTGGAGGATGTGAAGAGCAGTTTTTCCATTATGATGAATAGCTGCCCAAGCATGTACTACACCACCTCCCGTGTGTTCTCTGTGGGAAAGACAGTCTTCTCTCGTCTATTCTTCAGACGAACGACGAACACATAGAACAAACCGGAAACAGAACTCACTTGAAAAGATGACATGTTGCCAGTGTCCCAATTAGAAGTTGGCATGCTGTCTTGCCCATTTGACACGGTGACGCCTGTGAAGTTTGGTTAATATCTAGTCGCAGATAGCCCTTCTCCCAAAATAACTTTGTTTAATCAGTCTCCTATTCTCTGTTCTTCTGGATACCCTGGAATAAATGTGTTCATATCATTCCTGTCGTAAGGTGTTGCAAAACGTCTTTCAACCTTGGCGTGTTAATCTGATGAAAATACTGTCAACTCGGGCAGTAGTTTTCGGCGTCTACCAGTATACTTTCTTGGAACAACGTTTCCTGTAATCCGATGACGTTTCAGGATTCTGAATACAGTACACTGATGATACCTTACTGCTCTGGCAATGTCCGTTTGCTTCGTACCATTTCTGGACAGTCGAACAATTTGACGCTCTATGGCTTATGGCACGTGCTGAGTCATGACTCTACATCATATACCGATAAGTTGTTTGAACAAAGCCTTTATCTATTTCGAAAAATATTATACCAAAAGCACACCCCTTTTAGATACAACTGGTGTGTTTTGACGAACAAATGCTCAAAACAACTTATACAGACGGGAATAACAAGTCGTACATGTTTGCCCAATCATAAGCTACCTTCTCTGTTACTACTCGGCCATTTACTCAACAACTATTCCATGCATATAGACAACAACATCAATATAGAACAGTATGCAAATATTTTGGTCAAGATTGTATTGTTTCAATATCTCAACTCAAATTACATCCATCGTTTTACCATAATTTGGATAAGCCGTGCTAGCAAAGTAGATTTTGTTTATTATTAAGCACAAAGTTACATAATGGGCTATCTGTGCTGTATTCATCGCGAATATCGATACCCGATTTATAGCGTTGTAAGCCTTTAAAATTGCCACTGAGCCACAAGTGGCAGCAACACTGATACCGTTTTCTGTTAATTTTTTATCTTACTATGTTTCTTTGTTATCCAAGTGTGCTTACTGGATTATGGTCAATGGTTACAAATCAATAGCCATGATATATTTTATTTTTCACATGATTACAATTTCAAATCAGTTATTAATAACTTAAGATATACAGATTAATTTTAACATTCCTTTTTTTTTGTAAACACGGAAGAATGCCGGTTAAAATATAGAGCATAAAATAAAACACATTCATTAATTTTACTCAAAAAACAAGCTCTCAATAAAAGTTTTATGTGAATATCAGAAAGAACTAAATAAACAATAAAATATTATATATTTAATAATAAGTTAGCATTTAAAATATCTTATAGTAAAATAAATATCATGAAAAATTATATATATATATATATATGAAAATATAAAAGAAAGTCTATTTTTTATTGTTAAAATAGTACTAAGAAATATAGTTTACACATAGCTGCGACTCTTATCCGTTCAAAAATTGTTTTGCACATCATTACCACGGATTACCCTTCTCAAAACTATTATGTCTATTGTGGCTTAATGAATTTTGTTTTATTCGTATGCAGTTAAGATTTATCTTCTTTGTTTGTTTTAGTCCCAAGCTGCAGAATAGGCTAACTGTGATCTGTTCGCCAAGGGGAATCGAATCCCGAATTTTAGCGTTGTAAGTCCATAAACTTACCGCTGACTCACGGGAAGACTAGTTTTAGGCTTAAGCACACATATATATCAATTATTTATAATACTTTGGTAGTGCATTAGAGAGAAGAAATAAACATGTTTGAGATATGCATCAATTGCCGATAAGAGTGTACATTTGAAGTGTTATGCACATTTTCTTGTTAACTGATATCAGTCCAACTAATTAAAGAAACACTGCTATAAGTCGTTTACAAAATACAGATAAGAAAGACGCACAAACAATCCTAATCTGAAGTGTTTACAACCACAATTTTCTCGTAAAGGTTTTAGTTTTCTTATTCCATGACCCAACTTAGTTGGTTTTCACATGCATCTTAGTGTTCATTTTATTAAATATTTGTATTTTTCTCTTAATTTCTTTTGTCTCGGCCTTATAGTGGCACGGAATAATGTCTGTAGACTTACAACGCTAGAAACATGGTTTCGATACCTATGATGGGCAGAGCACAGATAGCCCTTGTGTAGCTTTGTGCATAATTAAAAAAACAAACAAAAACAAACAAACTGTAGCTTTGTGTGTAACTGCAAAACAAACTTTTGCTCCGTTGCTTTAAAGTACAAAAGAATTTTTGTAGCAGTGAATACAAAATAAACACTACATTCTCGAAATGTGTTGAATAAAAACGTTTTTTTTTGCAATATTTATAAAAGCTTCACGTTAGCTTAACAAATTTAGAACAAAAAGTTATCGCTAATGCTATGTTCATGTATTTTTAACAAGTTATTTGTTCCTCCAAATTAATCCTCTTATCGTCCTATACAATTTTTTTTGGTTAAAGAAAGATTCGTAAGACGGAAATTAATATAAACCAATTCGATTACATTCAAATGGGAAAAAGTGATTGCTTAATGAGAAATAGTGAAAAGATACTAGTTTAATACAACACCAATTTAATTAGAACACCAGAGTTCTTGTGACGTGAATTATCAACGATGAAAGTTGGTGATAATTTTTTTTTGGTTTCTGTTTATATTGAAAGTAATATTAGTAAATAAATATGGTGTTTTGAAGTTTATGATTTACATAATTATGTCATATTTTTAGGAAGGAGACTTATTTTCTTACAATCCTGGTGGATTTTATTTAAGAGCCAATTTTTCTAAAATATTATATTCTAATGAATATAACCTAACTTAAATTTACTTTTGATTACATTACGTTGCAAAGAAGTGTTTAAGCTTGTTGTATAGTGTAGAGGAGAATATTTAAAACGTGATACAATACTGCAATATATTTAATTGAAATGTTCTGTTTGCAACACTGAAAATTGTTACTTTTATAAATGATGCATACCAGTGCTATCCAACTTTGTGCTAGTGGAGGTTCACATAAAATTTTGAGTGTGGTCTCGACGACTAAAAACTAGTTCTCGACGACTTTATCGGTATTAAACAGTACAGAACTACAAATATAGGGACAAATTAAACATTTTTTTTTGCCTGGTGGTTGGCAGGCCTGTCGGAACTGTCAAAAAGGCGCCAACTGAACAACCCAGATGGATTAAAAAAAGAGTACTAAATGTATTAACTGCAGATAGTGCGAGCAATAGTCAGTTTCTTCTTTTTTTCGTTTTCATTTGGGAATGTTCTGGGCAAATTCAGTGAATGATTAAGCATTGAAAAATGAGTTTTTTTCTTATGGAAAGAAGAAAAACATTCACGTGTGATAATGTTTTTTTTATGTACTTTCCTGGACAGAAATTTAAAAATTTCTGCTTAGTCGTTAACTGTTATATGTAACAATGAAAACCAAATATGGTACGATTCAAGTATTGGCAATATTTATAGGTTAGGGAGGCGGGTTTGCTAAACGACAGATACTAAGTATTTAGGTAGTAGCTATAAGTAAAGTTTGATTTCTTTTAAAGTGTATAATTCTTACAAAAATTTTCCTTTCTTTCTTGTTTTTCTTAATTAAAGATAAGTTGAGTTAATGTTCAATTCCTAAGTTCGTAGAGTTCAACGACCTTTAGTCACATGGTCAACTATTAGAGTATCATTAATGCACGATTCAGTAGATACAGAAATTTAGATGTTAAGGAGAGTAGTCATATCTAGGTTAAATTGATCTTAATAATGAAATAAGTTTATATTAATCTTGAGATTCAATTCATAATGAAAGTAATGTTTAAATTTAGGTTTAAATAACTGATGATAGTAACACCACAGTCCAAGCTTCTCTGGATAATGAGCCATATTATGTGAGTCCATATTTATAGTTGATGGTAATTTTAACTTTTCTTTCTTCACATAATAAAAAGTCTAATATTTATATCTGAGATTCTTTGATTATGAGAGTACTCCATATTGTCGAGATTTATTTAGTTGATAGTTGAAATAATTTCAATGTTGGTTTCCAATAACGAACTAGTTCTGGTAGTGTTCAAATGAATTAAACTCGACTCGGTTAACTTGTAGTGACTTTTAAAATTCAGTTGATGGAAAGATTGAAGCAAATGTAGAATTTAGTTGATGATGAGTGTAGCAGAGCGTTTGAAACTGTTGTTCCGAACCAGGTATATAATCACAATACCAAGAGCTAATAAAGAAACAGCTAAAATATTGATGACTAGTGTTTGTTCTGGCAGATCTTCGTAGTTCTGTTTGTCGATTGTTCCACTGTAAAAACACATAAAAAGGTGAGGATTAGGAACATAATCATATGACATTGTACTATAGAATACAATGAACTGACACATAAAAAGGTGAGGATTAGGAACATAATCATATGCTATTGTATTATAGAATACAATGAACTGACATATAAAAAGGTGAGGATTAGGTACATAATCATATGATATTGTACTATAAAATACAATGAACTGACATATAAAAAGGTTGTCAAATCAGGACCTAATGACAAGGAAAAACTACTGAAATACATTAGATATGACATATATATATATGTCAGTTCATTGTATTTTATAGCACAATGTCATATGATTATGTTTCTAATCCTCACATTTTTATATCAGTTCATTGTATTTTATAGTACAATGTCATATGATTATGTTCCTAATTCTCACCTTTTTATATGTCAGTTCATTGTATTCTATAGTACAATATCATATGATTATGTTCCTAATCCTGTGGCTTACTTACACTTTGATAAACTAAAGGACTCTTTTATTACCTTTCTAAGAGATGGTAACATTTTATTTAGGTCATAAAACGTTGTATATAAAACTCTCAATAATCACACAATAAATGTGATATTTTACTTCAGATAAACGTTGCTCAGTGCTCGTGGTGCATGCTTTAATGTCTAACTTGCATCTTCTCATCTCACATCAATATATATTTTGCACGATACATATTCTAATTTGTGTCTTTTTTTTTCTTATGATGTTACACAAATAAACATATTATGTGACACGTGATTCTTATTATCTTACATGAATACATGTTTAAAGCGAAACGTTCTCTGATGTATCGTGTAGCTTGTCTTCTTTCAATAATACATGATACAATTACATGATACACGCTCTGATTCCTTTCTTGTTTCTTATTATAGGACACCAATGTAAGTTTCACATGATACACACTCTGATTTACATCTTGTTTCTATTCATCTTAAATCAATACACACTTTACACGAAACGTTCTCTGATGTATTTTGTAGCTTTCCACCTCACAAAAATACTTATTTTACATTAAACAAGCTCAATTTTTTGTGTTTTATTCTATAATTCGACATCAATACACGTTTTGCACGAAAAGCGCTCTGATTTCTGTTTTCTATTTCATCATCTTACTCAACGCACGTTTTACACGATACGTATACTCTGGTCCCTGTTTTGTATGTTGTTTATCTTACATAAATTCAAAACACGGATACGACAGTAAATTACATCTTAGTCTGAAACAACGTCAACGCCAAATACTCGGGTTCTCCAGTGTGATTAGGGGCGCAGCCAAAATATCTGCTCAGGTCACCAGTTAAGCAATCGTCGGTCAGGGATCGATAGGTTTCTAGTATACTATCACATTAGCAGAACGTTCATAAATTCGAACATATTTTAAATACGTGTTTCATAGAAAACAACATCAGCAATACCGTACTCAACTGTATTATATTTTGCCACTTATGATTAATACACCTGTTCCCTGTACAAACACTATTTCATTTTATCATTCATAACTGCCCCTCAGTGGCACAGCAATATGTCTGCGGACCTTATTAGGTTCCTAGTTTTGATAGTGGAATAAAATGTTGCATGTTTTAGTAGGTTCTTAGTTTTATATTTTTATTAGACTCCTTAGCTCTTTTTAGTCTTACAACGCTAGAAACTGTGTTTCGATACCCGTGGTGGGTAGAGCACAGATAGCCCAATGTGTAGCTTTCTACTTAACTACAAACAAACACTTATGATTAATGCACTTGTTTGTCGTATAAACACTATTTCATTTTATGACTCATGATGAATGCATCTGTTTGTCGTATAAACAATATTTCATTTTATCACTCATGATGAATATACCTGTTTGTCGTATAAACAATATTTCATTTTATCACTCATGATGAATGCACCTGTTTGTCGTATAAACGCTATTTCATTTTATGACTCATGATGAATGTACCTGTTTGTCGTATAAACACCATTTTATTTTATAACTCATGATGAATGTACATGTTTGTCGTATAAATACTATTTCATTTTATCATTCATGATTAAACTTGAGTTCATTATTGCGTGATACTATTATATGTTATCTCTCGTGACTGACGCACGTGTTAATAATCGTACACTGTGAAAATAGGCTACGATCTTCCGAACGCCTTTCTCACCGAAATATCATGCGCTCTAGTTAATTGTAGTTCATAAACAGTTCCAGTAATCCTGTTTGAGGCAAAGCAAAAACTACAGACAAGTAGTTTGAAAGAAAGAAGAGTGGAAGAAGGGAATATACAAACTTGATATTAATAAGGGCAACAACACCAACAGCAAAATGGGAATGTTTAAACTATATTACCGCAAGTTTAATAGAGGAAAATTACAAAAAAAATAGTAAATAACATACTCATACACAAAAGTACTCAATTAGACATACACGTACACACATATTTATATATAAACGATAAAACCATAGAGTTTTGGACAGTCTTCACATCCACATGTCAAAAGCGCTAGAGTTTAATCGTGTTTTTGGTGACTTACTATTGGAAAACAAAGAAACCATATAACTACTAGACAAAAACAGAGAGAAAAGGAGAGAAAGAAATAGTGTATCAGAGGTAAACTTTATAACGAACAGAGAAAAGAAAATTACAGCGAAATAACAAACTTACGTAGATGAATCGCATGTAGGCAAACAAAAAGGTAACGTGCTACGAAATGGAAGTAAAAGAGACAAAGCAAATATAGACAGAGAAAACTTACGTAGATGAATCGCATGTAGGCAAACAAAAAGGTAACGCGCTACGAAATGGAAGTAAAAGAGACAAAGCAAATATAGACAGAGAAAACTTACGTAGATGAATCGCATGTAGGCAAACAAAAAGGTAACGCGCTACGAAATGGAAGTAAAAGAGACAGAGACAAAACAAATACAGACAGAGAAATTGATATAAAAATACACTCTGTCAGAAGAACTGGATGCAAAGAACATTGAAATTACGAAGCAAAAATAAATAAATAAGACGCATGAAACGGGGAAAAAATGGCAGAATAAACGTGAGTAATGTAGGTAAATTGAGTCACGAGAAAAAAAGCACTAGTAGGATATTCGAAAATAGTTTTCCGTTACATTTGGATTAAAGGCCCTTGCACCTCTTTGTTTAATATCCAAAGTTTCTGTGACTTTAAAGGTCGACCAAGATCACATGCACAAATAAAACTCAGAACTGACCAAACGTAAAATACTTACTAAAGGCATTAACTCTTTTACTCATTCAACATGGGTGGGAAATAACTATGTACGGGCAAAAATTAAGACTGGTCTTTAAATCATTTCCATGCTTTAGTATGACACTTACAAAATCCTGAGACATGATCTTAAATCAACATACATTAACAAACCTTTTCTCGTTTAATGAAGAAAAAGATAGAAAAACTATGATCGCGAACAAGTGTAAAAAAAAACCCAAAAAAACACCAACAAAACAAAACAAACTCTTTACAAGATACAAAAACATTTCACAGGTGTAAAAATACTGCAAAAGGTTTGCGATAAGATTCTTGTGGTAAAGTTATGGCGATCAAATATAAATTGTTGTCATGGTTAGTGGCCTATACGATCACCTTTGTATAATTTCATACCATTTTCCACACATTTTAATTACTAATGCTCCTGGTCCAGCATGGCCATGTTGATAAGGCGCTCGACTCGCAATATGAGGGTCGCGGGTTTGAATCCTCGTCCCACCAAACATGCCCGCCCTTTCATCTGTGACGGTCAGTCCTATTATTCGTTGGTAAAAGAGTAGTCTAAGAGTTGGCGGTGGTTGGTAATGACTAGCTGCTTTCTCTCTAGTCTTACACTGCTATGTTAGGGACGGCTAGCGCAGATAGCCCTCGGGTAGCTTTGCGCGAAATTCAAACCTAAACTAATGCTTCTGCTATTAAGGAAAGGCCTTAGAAGTACTGTTTGTGTTTGTAGGTGCAGAAATGTGTCAGCGAAAAAGGCTAGTTTGCTATCCAAATAATCCTCTGAGCTGTACCTACCGTAGGGATCGAACCACGAGTTTAAGTGTTAAATGCCCTTAATTTTTATATGAGCCACAGGAGGTCTCCAAAAACGGTAGTAGATGAGCAGTCAAAAGAGAGAATATAAAATAATTAGAAGTTGGATAGTTAGTTAGGGACGGGCATAGCCTAATGGGTAGTGTGTCCAAAGTGACAAAGTTCATGGTTTGTAACCTGTTGCTGCTAGAACGTGCTCCGCACTTTGGGGACTATTAAGTCCCACTATTCAGTCAGATAAGAGAAGCCCAAGAGTTTGATGTTGACTATTTGTCCTCCTTGTAGTCTATCACTTCTAAATTAGGGGCAACTGTGCTCAGATATCCGTTGTGTAGATTGTAAAAATAAAATAAAAATAAATTAATGATCAAACTTTGGTGATTGCATAGGCTATCAACTACGACAATGATGTGATAAGAAATGACATTATCGAAACAAACTTACAAAAGTAGAACGATACAAAACAGAATTCGAAAACTGAAGATTGTTTTTAATATATAAAGCCTAATAGTATTATTTGTGATATCACTGTAAATAGATATCATATAACAGCGCGTTTTTATTATTAAATATCCCTGGTGTTGTTATAACTAATTATGTTAAGTTGTGATTAAGTCAGTGGCGTAACTACAAAAGATTGGCCCCTACACTTATTCCCCTTGTCGGCAATTCTTAAAGTTTGTCAGGCCCTTCGGGCCTTTTTTTGACTCGCCCCCGCACTTGCGGGGGCATACTTATGTCACTGAATTAAGTTTTAGAAATAGTTAATTGGATTAAGACTTGATTTGGGATTAAAAGTTTGTACGAGCTTAAGCTTCTTGTTTTGTATGTAATTTATGTGGTGTACAAAAATATTTTGCATTTTGTATGACTTATGTTTTAATCGTTTTTATATATATTTAAACCTGTTGCCGTTCGATTTGACTTTTGTTTCTGTATCTAGACCACGGTTGTGAAATAGTAATTCTGATAAAATTGTTTTCAAAACAGTTAATAGTACGCATAACTGATTTTTTAAATATTTGTTATTCCCATTAAGAAGATATGGGACAAATTTCAAAATAGGAGCTATACTGTCACAAATTTGCATTTCTGACCTTACACATCTTTCGTATCGCATTCTGATATTGATCTGACCCTAGTGACATCTATACGCTGTAAATATTAACGACGAGTTACACCAAGCAAAATATAATTTGCCCTCTGTGAAAAAATATTTTGTATAGCTATCGCCCTGCCAAGTTCGTGATGGTCTACAGGTGATTAAATTTTGTTTTGTTTGCAATTTTGTTATTGTACTAAATAATATATACTGTTCTTGTATTATTAATAATCACGATATTTGCAATAGCTTACAATCTAATTACTACAAGAAAACAGCATTTCTCCTGAACTAATTAAATTACTTTCTCCATACTCCAGTCTTTCTATACAGAATAGTCCAAAAATTCGAACCGTTCTTTGACTAAGGATTTTAAATATTGCACCATAATATCGGAATTCAGTAATTTACATATTTAATATTACATACTGTAGCCTTAAAACATCGATTAAAGAAAATAATAATGAAGTCATTCATAGTTATATTGCGAAATTCAAATTTCACCACTTGCTTCCTGTGTATAAACGATCAGTTTAAATGATGGGCATAACTTATTATTACAACAGGTTTTATTATATTTTGGTTATGGTCCCATACGGATCAGTATCGTTATGTCTTAGCCAATGTCATATTAACAAAAATCAATGGAACTATAGCCTTAACAACATATTCTGTTGCCAGATTAATTTCAAGAGTAATTTCATTGTTTCATAATTAATGACAAAACTATTTTTGTATTTGAAATATAAAATTTTCAAACTTAAAAATTACCTTATTCGACATAACTGGTTTATGACAATATCCGATTCTCCTTCAAGAACTACCTATTTTTCAAAACACTGACCCGCTAATCTGTCGTTGTTAAAAATAAAAACATTATCATATGTTTTAGGTAATTAATATTTAACCAAGTCATAATTAATACAAAGGTACATAATATTTCTGGTCAAGAGTTCCAAAAGTAACCGTATCTTGTTCACGTGCATCTGTTGAGCAGAGTTGTGTAATATACTTTAGTTATTGTTTTATTTCAAATCATAGTAAAATACAAAAATGTACAACAAGGTAACCTACATTATTCGAGTTAACTTACCTTCACATAACACTAACTACGATAAAGGTTTACGAGCAATTCTAGTATGTTTTACCTCTAGTTATTGATAATAAGAGATGCAACACGACTTATCTTAATGTATCTTACTTTTTTTTAAGTTCTAAAAAAAGCACATAATGTAAAAATATGTCTAACTTAGAACATGAAGTTCTAAAAAAGCACGTAATGTAAAAATATGTCTAACTTAGAACATGAAGTTCTAGAAAAACCACGTAATGTAAAATATGTCTAACTTAGAATATCTTACTTCTGTATAGCCACCACATTATGTATATTTTAGTGTATATTACCTATCATATTTAAAGTTCACAGGAAATACAATAAAAATAATAGCAATAAAAAACTTTTATGTTCATCCATTGTTGATATACCTCAGCATGTGTCGAGCTGTCTGCATCAGGCCCGTTAGACAAGTGGCTATAGCCATCCCGAAGATGATAAGTCCGAACGTAATGTGTGTCGGTAACAGACGCTGTCTCAGCTTCACAGTAGCGTTGTCACAACATAAGAATACCAGAAAAGACATAAACCCCACAAGGAACTGTAGAAATTAAAATAAAGTTGGAGATCAAGTATCATCTTCAGATTAGTTTTAACAAAGTTTTAGTTATCCTGAGTTGAAACACTTACTAAATATCGTCTTCAGAGGTATAAATACACAAACAGCACTGAACAATTTTATTCTAACTTCATGTTTTTATTTGTTGTAGTTAATTCTAAAAGAGAAACGAAAACATACAGGACACAAAACTATGTATCAAAGTTGAAATAATCTCATTTGAAGTAAAACCAAAACCATTTTAAACAGAAATTGAAAAAAACCCTAACATACAAAAAGACAACGTAGCTATCGCCTTTAAACACTATTTTAAACTGTAAAAACTCTAGCATACAAGAAGATAAAATAACTATCGCTTTTAACAGAAACTACAAAACCCCTTCATACAAGAAGTAAAAATCGTCAGGACCTTTAAGAAAAACTGTAAATATCTTAGTTACCACACGTGAAGTAAAATTAACCATAACCTTTAAAAAAAGCTGTAAACCTTTTAGTTAGCACAATTGAAGTAAAATCAACCATCATCTTTAAGAAAAGCTGTAAACATTTTAGTTAGCACAATTGAAGTAAAAGCAACCACCATCTTTAACAAAAACTGTAAACATTTTAGTTAGCACACATGAAGTAAAAGCAACCATCACTTTAAGAAAAGCTGTAAACATTTTAGTTAGCACAATTGAAGTAAAAGTAACCATCATCTTTAACAAAAGTTCTAAGCATTTTAGCATACATGAAGTAAAAGCAACCATCATCTTTAAGAAAAGCTGTAAACATTTTAGTTAGCACAATTGAAGTAAAAGTAACCATCATCTTTAACAAAAGCTCTAAGTATTTTAGCATACATGAATTAAAAGCAACCATCATCTTTAAGAAAAGCTGTAAACATTTTAGCACACATGAAGCAAAAGCAACTATCACCTTTACCAAAACCTGTAAACGTTTTAGTTAGCACACTTGAAGTAAAAGCAACCATCACTATTATGAAAACTTGCAAACATTTTAGTTAGCACACTTGAAGTAAAAGCAGCCAGCACTTTCAAGGGAAGCTGAAAACATTTTAGTTTCATGAATGAAGTAAAAGCAACCAAAAATTTTGATTGAAAATAAAATCCTTAGAAAGTAAAAATAACATTTAATTTTAACAGAAACCATAGAAATTATATTATGCATGAGGTAAAAGTAGCGATAGACTTAGCATAAACTGTAAAATTCCAGTGCATATGAAGTAACAGGAACCATTGCTTTTCACAGAAAATAGAAGTATACCTTAAGAGTAACCACCAATCTTAATTGAAAATGTAAAAAGAAAAAAAGAAAAAATATTAATGCCAGGTGATATTCGATCCTTTTGCTTTCCAACTAAACAATAGCGTCTTGTATGCATTAAGCTCTCAGTTTTCATCCATTGTTTATTCGATAGGGGTTTAAGAAGACTCTTGATCTATGCCACTTGGTGTAAAGCTCAGAATCCGTTCATGGTACATAAAGGTTATGTATAATCAGTAAACAATAGCGCACAAGATATGGTAGAAAATACTGGTGCACAAGATGTGGTTGTAAATACTGGTGCACAAGATATGGTAGAAAATATTGGTGCACAAGATATGGTTGTAAATACTGGTGCACAAGATATGGTAGAAAATACTGGTTCACAAGATATGGTTGTAAATACCGGTGCACAAGATATGGTTGTATATACTGGTGCACAAGATATGGTTGTATATACTGGTGCACAAGATATG